ACATGTGCAACATCTGGGTATCTTTATTGCAGCAGACGATACCCGTCCCTTTCCATCTGACGCCAGTATATAAGCACCACCCTTCTTGCCTGTGCTCCAGAATCTTCACGACTACGGTGCTCTTCACACCACCTCCAAGGCTGAGGGACTGATTACCCCATCTTTTGTATATAGTTCTACTGTCTTCCTGTTATGTCCTTGAATTTGTATTAATAAAGGCACTAGATGGCGAAACGTCTACAATAAAGATACCCAGATGTTACACATGTGTCTTAATCCTCAGTGATGGGGAGTGAATAAAGGGGAAAGATAACGTTAAAAAAGGGAATAAGAAGGGGATGTAAATAGTTATAAAACGGAATCAAAGAAAAAAATGCGATAAAAGGTATAAAAGAGCATAAAATAGAATGGAAGAGTATAAAGGATATAAGAGATATGAAGGAAAAAATATATAAGAACATTAAAGGGTATTTAAAGGTTCTTAAAAGCATCAGGGGAATAAAATGGAATAAAAAGGTCAAAAGAAATAAAAGGAAATAAAAGAATGCCGAAAGGTATAAAAGGGAATTAAAAGAGGATATAGGCATTAAAAGAGTCAGGTGTTTATTCAGCACTGAGCATTAAGCTTCCCAGTGCTGGAGTCACAGCACATCTGACTTCCAAATGTTGCAGCTTTAAGCTGGTATAAATTTTCAGGGAGACTAATGCCAGTGTTGTGTTGCAGCTGTCATCAATGTAGTGTTGCAGCTGTCATCAGTGTTGTGTTGCAGCTATCATCAATGTTGTGTTGCAGCTGTCATCAGTGTTGTGTTGCAGCTATCATCAGTGTTGTTTTGCAGCTATCATCATTGTTGTGTTGCAGCTATCTTCATTATTGTGTTGCAGCTATCATCAGTGTTGTGTTACAGCTATCTTCATTGTTTTTTGCAGCTATCATCAGTGTTGTGTTGCAGCTATCTTCACTGCTTTTTTGCAGCTATCATCAGTGTTGTGTTGCAGCTATCTTCATTGTTTTTTTGCAGCTATCATCATTGTTGTGTTGCAGCTATCTTCATTATTGTGTTGCAGCTATCATCAGTGTTGTGTTGCAGCTGTCATCAGTGTTGTGTTGCAGCTATCATCAGTGTTGTTTTGCAGCTATCATCAGTGTTGTTTTGCAGCTATCTTCATTATTGTGTTGCAGCTATCATCAGTGTTGTGTTGCAGCTACCTTCATTATTGTGTTGCAGCTATCATCAGTGTTGTGTTGCAGCTATCATTAGTGTTGTGTTGCAGCTATCATCAGTGTTGTGTTGCAGTTATCATCAGTGTTGTGTTGCACCTATCATCAGTGTTGTGTTGCACCTATCATCAGTGTTGTGTTGCAGCTGTCATCAGTGTTGTGTTGCAGCTATCTTCATTGCTGTTTTGCAGCTATCATCAGTGTTGTGTTGCAGCTATCCTCAGTGTTGTGTTGCAGCTACCATCAGTGTTGTGTTGCAGCTATCTTCATTATTGTGTTGCAGCTATCATCAGTGTTGTGTTGCAGCTATCATTAGTGTTGTGTTGCAGCTATCATCAGTGTTGCGTTGCAGTTATCATCAGTGTTGTGTTGTACCTATCATCAGTGTTGTGTTGCAGCTATCTCCATTACTGTGTTGCAGCTATCATCAGTGTTGTGTTGCAGCTATCTCCATTACTGTGTTGCAGCTATCATCAGTGTTGTGTTGCAGTTATCATCAGTGTTGTGTTGCAGCTACCATCAGTGTTGTGTTGCAGCTATCATCAGTGTTGTGTTGCACCTATCATCAGTGTTGTGTTGCAGCTGTCATCAGTGTTGTGTTGCAGCTACTATCAGTGTTGTGTTGCAGCTATCTTCATTATTGTGTTGTAGCTATCATCAGTGTTGTGTTGCAGTTATCATCAGTGTTATGTTGCACCTATCATCACTGTTGTGTTGCACCTATCATCAGTGTTGTGTTGCAGCTATCATCAGTAATGTGTTGCAGCTACCATCAGTGTTGTGTTGCAGCTATCATCAGTGCTGTGTTGCAGCTATCATCAGTGTTGTGTTGCAGTTATCATCAGTGTTGTGTTGCACTTATCATCAGTGTTGTGTTGCACCTATCATCAGCGTTGTGTTGCAGCTACCATCAGTGTTGTGTTGCAGCTATCTTCATTATTGTGTTGCAGCTATCATCAGTGTTGTGTTGCAGTTATCATCAGAGTTATGTTGCACCTATCATCACTGTTGTGTTGCACCTATCATCAGTGTTGTGTTGCAGCTATCATCAGTGTTGTGTTGCAGCTACCATCAGTGTTGTGTTGCAGCTATCTTCATTATTGTGTTGCAGCTATCATCAGTGTTGTGTTGCAGCTATCATCAGTGTTATGTTGCACCTATCATCAGTGTTGTGTTGCACTTATCATCAGTGTTGTGTTGCAGCTATCATCAGTGTTGTGTTGCAGCTATCTTCATTGCTGTTTTGCAGCTATCATCAGTGCTGTGTTGCAGCTATCATCAGTGTTGTGTTGCAGCTATCATCAGTGTTGTGTTGCAGTTATCATCAGTGTTGTGTTGCAACTATCATCAGTGTTGTGTTGCACCTATCATCAGCGTTGTGTTGCAGCTGTCATCAGTGTTTTGTTGCAGCTATCTTCATTGCTGTTTTGCAGCTATCATCAGTGTTGTGTTGCAGCTATCATCAGTGTTGTCTTGCAGCTACCATCAGTGTTGTGTTGCAGCTATCTTCATTATTGTGTTGCAGCTATCATCAGTGTTGTGTTGCAGCTATCATTAGTGTTGTGTTGCAGCTATCATCAGTGTTGCGTTGCAGTTATCATCAGTGTTGTGTTGTACCTATCATCAGTGTTGTGTTGCAGCTATCTCCATTACTGTGTTGCAGCTATCATCAGTGTTGTGTTGCAGCTATCGTTAGTGTTGTGTTGCAGCTGTCATCAGTGTTGTGTTGCAGCTATCATCATTGTTGTGTTGCAGCTACCATCAGTGTTGTGTTGCAGCTGTCTTCATTATTGTGTTGCAGCTATCATCAGTGTTGTGTTGCAGTTATCATCAGTGTTATGTTGCACCTATCATCAGTGTTGTGTTGCACCTATAATCAGTGTTGTGTTGCAGCTATCATCAGTGTTGTGTTGCAGCTATCTTCATTGCTGTTTTGCAGCTATCATCAGTGCTGTGTTGCAGCTATCATCAGTGTTGTGTTGCAGCTACCATCAGTGTTGTGTTGCAGTTATCATCAGTGTTATGTTGCACCTATCATCAGTGTTGTGTTGCACCTATCATCAGTGTTGTGTTGCAGCTATCATCAGTGTTGTGTTGCAGCTATCTTCATTGCTGTTTTGCAGCTATCATCAGTGCTGTGTTGCAGCTATCATCAGTGTTGTGTTGCAGCTACCATCAGTGTTGTGTTACAGCTATCTTCATTATTGTGTTGCAGCTATCATCAGTGTTGTGTTGCAGCTATCATTAGTGTTGTGTTGCAGCTATCATCAGTGTTGCGTTGCAGTTATCATCAGTGTTGTGTTGCACCTATCATTAGTGTTGTGTTGCAGCTATCTCCATTACTGTGTTGCAGCTATCATCAGTGTTGTGTTGCAGCTATCATTAGTGTTGTGTTGCAGCTATCTCCATTACTGTATTGCAGCTACCATCAGTGTTGTGTTGCAGCTATCTCCATTACTGTGTTGCAGCTATTATCAGTGTTGTGTTGCAGCTATCATTAGTGTTGTGTTGCAGCTATCATCAGTGTTGTGTTGCACCTATCATTAGTGTTGTATTGCAGCTATCTCCATTACTGTGTTGCAGCTACCATCAGTGTTGTGTTGCAGCTATCTCCATTACTGTGTTGCAGCTATCATCAGTGTTGTGTTGCAGCTATCATTAGTGTTGTGTTGCAGCTATCATCAGTGTTGTGTTGCAGTTATCATCAGTGTTGTGTTGCACCTATCATCAGTGTTGTGAGTGAGCTACTCAAGTCCCAATATGACTCAGTTTTTAGCAAGCCGCTAACCAGACTGAGAGTCGAAGATCAAAGTATTTTTTTTATGAGAGAGCCACGGAATTTGGTTAACAGAAGCCTATCTGATGTTATCCTGACGCCAAATGACTTTGAACAGGCGATAAATGACATGCCCATGCACTCTGCCCCAGGGCCAGACTCATGGAACTCCGTGTTCATCAAGAACTGCAAGAAGCCCCTATCACGAGCCTTTACCATCCTATGGAGAGGGAGCATGGACACGGGGGTCGTCCCACAGTTACTAAAAACAACAGACATAGCCCCACTCCACAAAGGGGACAGTAAAGCAACAGCAAAGAACTACAGACCGATAGCACTAACATCCCATATCATAAAAATCTTTGAAAGGGTCCTAAGAAGCAAGATCACCACCCATCTAGAAACCCATCAGTTACACAACCCATTAACTCATTAAGTCACCAGCCATACTGACTCATTAAGTCACCAACCATACTGACTCATTAAGTCACCAGCCATACTGACTCAGCACCATACTGACTCAGCACCATACTGACTCAGCACCATACTGACTCAGCACCATACTGACTCAGCACAATACTGACTCAGCACAATACTGACTCAGCACCATACTGACTCAGCACCATACTGACTGCCTGATTCATACAGCAGCAATCATCAGCTCTAACAAGAGGACACAACTAGAAGTTAAAAACTCAAATGAGTCATAGGGATTTTAGGAAGTACTTCTTCAGCTTTAGAGTTTACAGAAAGTGCAAGAGTCTGGAGAGTGACGTAGTGCAGGCAGGATCCATACATAGTTTTAGCATGACGGGTTTGTGTTCTTTACGTCACTTGCACAAATAACTTTTAGTAATACAAATAAAATTCTTAACCAAGACAATAGAGCCAAATTCACTATATTTATATATTCTCAAATATGGCACAGGTATTTACGTTATATATTTAAAGGCATTAATATGAAGCATATTTATTGTAAAAAATTTATACCAAATACTTCAGTTGTTATTTTGCGAGGACAATAAATACACTACCACGTACCCAGGACCTAAACCACTTTTGCCAGGACCTAAACCACGTTTGCCAGGACCTAAACCACGTTTGCCAGGACCTAAATCACGTTTGCCAGGACCTAAACCACGTTTGCCAGGATCTATACCACGATTGCCAGGACCTAAACTACGTTTGCCAGGACCTAAATCACGTTTGCCAGGACCTAAACCACGTTTGCCAGGATCTATACCACGATTGCCAGGACCTAAACTACGTTTGCCAGGACCTAAATCACGTTTGCCAGGACCTATACCACGTTTACCAGGACCTAAACCACGTTTGCCAGGACCTAAACCACGTTTGCCAGGACCTATTCCACGTTTGTCAGGACCTAAACCACGTTTACCAGGACCTAAACCACGTTTGCAAGAACCTAAACCACGTTTGCCAGGACCTAAACCACGTTTTCCAGGACCTAAACCACGTTTTCCAGGACCTAAACCACGTTTTCCAGGACCTAACCCACGTTTGAAAGGACCTAATCTACGTTTAAATATAATAAAGGTAAGTATAGCCAGTATCTTGACTTATATGTTGACAAGGTATGCTGCAGTGACGCATAAAAACGTCAATTAATGGTTCAAGTCGGACCCAAACGTCGTCGTAAGGTTCATTTTCCTATGTGAGGATTATCTATGTGTACTGTAATGACACATGATAGAAATACTATGTTAAACACACAGCTCATTCAGGGGGTAACTACCCTTTTTTCTGCCAATTCAGGAGCTAATCTCTAAGTTTAAAAGGTTTTAGAGTAATAAATGCCAATAATTTGTGTCCTGAGGCGCTTATAAAAGGTACAGGTTTTTTGAAGTATAATCTAAGTGCTCAGAATGACAGCCAATATTAAGAATCGCTCGAAACACTTTTCGTCTCATGCGTGGGACGCAGGCTTGAGTGTGCAGCGCCAGTGTGGAACCCTCACAGTGTGAAACAGCTTCAAACCTGAGAAAATGCCATGAAGTGCATCAGGATTGGTGGCAAAGAAGAGAGTCATGAACTGTGAGTCATGTGTGAGAAAGGTATGAATAACGAGGGGGAAATATGATAGCAACGTACAAAATACTGCAGCACAGAGACAGGCTGGATAAAGACAGGTTCTTTACCCGGAAACTAATAAATTATCATAAACTTGGTATCTCAGCTGCTTTTAAAGGGGAAACTGAGCTAGATCTTAATCTGACATTTGAAATTAAAAAAAATTGGATATTTCGGTATATCTTTATTTTTTATTTGTTAAATGTGTATAGAATATCAGGAGGTATTTTTTTTAAATGAGAATGTTGAAGAATTTGAGATATATAAGCGATTATTGCATGACTGTAAACATATCGGTGTGTATATACACACACAGGAGCTGCGACCCGACCCCCTGCAACCACATAAAGGTGAGTACAAATACACACAGACACAGACACACACACACACACACACACACACACACACACACACACACACACACACACACACACACACACACACACACATACACAGACACAACACACACACACACACACACACACACACATACACACACACATACACACACATACACACACACATACACACACACACATACACACACACACACATACACACATACACACACACATACGCACACAGGAACAAGCACTTGTAAGCTGTAGTACACACGCAAACACACATACACAGGATTTCACACCGTCCTGAGAACTGACCATCTGAACCTTTCTCCTCCCCCCCCCCTCTTTCTACACTAAGTGGACTTATCTCTACCTCCTCACTCATTACCTATATCTCTCTCTCAAACCTATCTCTCTCTCTCTATTCCCTCTCCCATTTTTCCCCTCTAACATCTTTACCTCAAAACACCTCCCCCCCCCCAAAACATCTCTCCCCCTCTAACATCTGTCCCCCCCCATTATCTCTCCCCTCTCCTTTTCCCCATCCTCCCTCTCTCCCCCCCTAGCCTCTCTCCCCTCTCGCTCTTCCATCTCCCCCTCTTTCCCCCTTCTCCCCCTATTTGCCTTCCCTTTCTCCCTCCCTCCCTCCCTCCCCCCTCCCTCCTCTCTCTCTTCCCCTCTTCTCTCTCTCTTCTCTCCCCTCTCTCCTCTCTCTCTCTCTCTCTCTCTCTCTCTCTCTCTTGCTCTCTCTTTCTCTCTCGCTCTCTCCCCTTGCTCTCTCTCTCTCTCTCTTGCTCTCCTTCTTGCTCTCTCTCTCTCTTCTCTTGGGCTCTCTCTCTCTCTTGCTCTCTCTCTCTCTTGCTCTCTCTCTTGCTCTCTCTCTTGCTCTCTCTCTTGCTCTCTCTCTCTTGCTCTCTCTCTCTTTTCTCCTCTCTTTTTGCTCTCTCTCTCTCTCTTGCTGTCTCTCTCTTGTCTCTCTCTTCTCTTGCTCTCTCTCTTGCTCTCTTCTTCTCTTGCTCTCTCTCCCTTGCTCTCTCTCTCTTTTTGCTCTCTCTTCTCTCTTGCTCTCTCTCTCTCTTGCTCTCTCTCTCTCTTGCTCTCTCTCTCTTGCCTCTCTCTCTCTCTGCTCTCTCTCTCTCTGCTCTCTCTCTTTTCTCTTGCTCTCTCTTTTTGCTCTCTCCCCTCTCTTGCTCTCTCTCTTGCTCTCTCTCTCTCTTGCTCTCTCTTCTCTTGCTCTCTCTCTCTCTTGCTCTCCTCGCTCTCTTGCTCCTCTCTCTCTCTCTCTCTCTTGCCTCTCCCCCCTCTTGCTCTCTCTCTCTCTCTTGCTTCTCTCTTGCTCTCTCTCTCTCTCTTGCTCTCTCTCTTGCTTTTCTCTCTCTGCTCTCTCTCTTGCTCTCTCTCTCTCTTCTTCCCTCTCTCTCTCTCCTGCTCTCCTCTCTCTCCTGCTCTCTCTCTCTCTTGCTCTCTCTCTTGCTCCCCTCTCTCTCTCTTGCTCTCTCTCTCTCTTGTCTCTCTTCTTGCTCTCTCTCTTGCTCTCTCTCTCTTGCTCTCTCTCTCTCTTGTTTCTCTCTCTCTCTCTTGCTCTCTCTCTCTCTTGCTCTCTTCCCCTCTTGCTCTCCCCTCTCTCTTTTTGCTCTCTCTCTTGCTCTCTCTCTCTCTTCCCTTTTCTCTCTCTCTTGCTCTCTCTCTCTCTTGCTCTCTCTCTCTCTTGCTCTCTCTCTCTCTTGCTCTCTCTCGCTCTCTTTGCTCTCTCTCTCTCTCTTGCTCTCTCTCCCTCTTGCTCTTGCTCTCTCTCTCTTCTCTCTCCTCTTGCTCGCTCTCTTGCTCTCTCTCTCTCTTGCTCTCTCTCCCTCTGCTCTCTCTCTCTCTTGTTTCCTCTCTCTTGCTCTCTCTCTCTCTCTTGCTCTCTCTTTTTGCTTCTCTCTCTCTCTGTTCTCTCTCTTGCTCTCTCTCTCTCTCTTGCTCTCTCTCTTGCTCTCTCTCTCTCCTGCTCTCTCTTTCTCTTGCTCTCTCTCTCTCTTGCTATCTCCCCTCATTGCTCTCTCTCGTCCCCATTTTCCCTTCTAACTCTCCCCTCTCCTACTCTTAAAAAAAAAAAAAAAAAAAAAAAAAAAAAAAAAAAAAAAAAATGGTGGGGACTCGCAGGACCCAAGGATCAGATGAGAATGGTTCGGGTAGGGAGGAGTGGATGGAGGAGCAGTGGAAAAGGATGGAACAAGAGTGGGAGAGAAAATTAGGAGAGCTTTCTGAAAAAATGGAGAAAGAGCTCTCTGTGAAATTGGAAAAGGTGGTTGGAGAAGGAGACAAAGAATTGGGAGGCACAAGTCGAAACTGCAGTAGCCAAGATAAGGGTCCTAGAAGTTGAGATAAATAGGCTGGAGCGAGTTACAGGGGCAGTGACCAGAGAAGACACAGCATTTAAAAGCTGCGAGGCTGAACAGAAGGAAGGAAAATTATAAATTTAAATGCTAAGGCCACATCAATCTGCCAAGGAGGCCCAAGGGTGAAAGGGAAGATCAACTGGTTGCAGATGGAGAGGGTGATGGGTTTCGAATGCTGAGGCACAACAAGGCTATCAAGAGCCACGGGAAAAAAATCAAGGGAGAAACTGACCACACACAGGCAGGATCCAGAGCCACAGAGGGTGAGGCAATGCGAGGAAGAAAGGGCAAAATCAGTGTTTATCCTTTGGCTTCAGGAGAGAGAGGGAAAGGGACACACACCTGAAAGGAAGCAGGAAGAAAGGAAGGGATTGAAAAAAATCAAAACAGAAATAGGTGAAGAGAGGGACGAGATTGTAAATTTTCAGAGAATAGGGGGGTACTCGAAGGTGAGAAAACCGACCAATCAAGCTGATTCTCAGGACGGAAACAGTGGGGAACAGGATCCTCCAAGAGAAACCACGATTGAAATACTCGGAAGGTACAGAGGGTTTGTTCCTAGACAGAGACAGAAACAAAATCAGAACGACAGCAGCTGAGGGGAGAGGACAAAAAAGCGAAAGGAGCTAGGAAAAGAGACAAGGAGGGAACCAGCAGAGGTCAGTCAGAGCAGGACAGAACAGAAAAGGGCAAGCAAAACACACAACTACCTCAGAACCACACAACCTATCACCCCATCCCAACACACCCTACAATCCATACCCACAGCCTCCACCCAACACCAAGCTATAAAAACCCCACAGTATGGCCACGGTCTCCCACCCTCACAGGCCCCCCAAACCACAGTGTTGGAAAGGAAACTGAAGGTATTGTACCACAACGCTGATGGAAATAACAAATAAGTGGGAGGAGTGGCAAGAAAAAAAGTCAAGAAGCATCACCGGACATCATAGCTCTCACAGAAACCAAGCTTACAGGTATGATAACAGATGCCATCTTTCCAAAGGGATACCAAATCCGAGGAAAGACAGAGGGAACAGGGGGGGTGGAGGGTGGCGTTGCTGATCAAAAATCGCTGGAATTTTGATGAGCTGGGGGAGAGAAGATAGCGGAGAAGAAAGTGATTACATAGTGGGAAAAACTTCACTCTGGAGGTCCCAAGGTGGTAATAGCAGTGATGTTTTAACCCACCCACAGAACAGCAGGAGGCCCAGGCAAGAGTAAAGACGAGAGCAATAGAGCGATGGTTGACACACTGGCTAGAGTGGCCAGAAGAGCTCATGCATTTCAGGGCAAAGCTCTGATCATGGGTGACTTTAACCACAAGGAGATAGATTGGGAGAACTTGGAACCCCCATGGGGGCCCAAGATACTTGGAGGGCTAAGATGATGGAGGTGGTACTGGAGAACTTCATGTACCAACACGTAAGGGACACTACAAGAGAGAGAGGAGAGGATGAACCAGCAAGGCTGGACTTAGTATTCACCTTCGTAGTGCAGATATCGAGGACATCACATATGAAAAGACCCCTTGGGGCCAGTGACCATGTGGTTGTAAGCTTCGAATACACAGTAGAGCTACAAGTGGAGGGAGAAGCAGGAAGGCCCGGACGAATGAAGCCAAACTACAAGAAAGGGGAAAACACAGGAATGAGGAACTACCTGAACGGGTTCAGTGGGACAGAGAACTGGCAGGGAAACCAGTTAATGAATGATGGAATATGTAGCAATAAAATGCAAG